TTTTCCCACGAACGATTGCAGTCACTTTGCTACCCTTTGTTCTAAAAAGCATATTCTTTGCTGCAAGCTAAAAAAACCTATGATCAAAAATATACAATATCTGAACACCAAAAATTTATTTCAAGTATTCCAGCATGACACCGAATTTAATAGCTCCAAGTAAGATGTTTCCTGCTTGCTGTACAATGCCTGTAAGAACAAAAGACAGAGGTGTGACCAGAGCTTTTGGAGAAAGGGTTTCGAGGAGGACCAGCTGTACTCTTACTGACATATGTGATATACAGTCCTATGAGTTGCTTTAGGATGTATAATCCTGCAGGTTTCCTTCACTTAGGAAAAAGCTCTCAAAATATTTTACGAGGCTTTCCTATTTATTGATAAGTGGCCGTTATACACTGGGCAGTAGCACAGGGCATCCAACCCTTTACTGAAGAATTTTGCAAATAATCCAAAAATAGCAGCAGTCACGTATGTCAGGCTTTAAACAGAAATGATCTGAATAAGTTACTATTTTTAAAATGTTTAATACGTCATCAGCTTAAAGGTCATTATAGTGCTTGTTAACTCTGACCTACAGGAGAATCAGGGGATCCTAATCAAGTAGGTAAATACGAATGGGTCATTTCTCGTATTTCCACAGTGCGGCAAGAGCGAGAGGGCGAACACTGGTTTCTTCCTGAGACGAGACCAATCCTGGCAAATGAAATCAGTACTGCTGAGATCATTCCCTGCCATCGCAGAGCAGTGGCCTCATGTCTCGCGGTGGTGGCGGCTTCCCCACAGCACCCAAGTAGAGCGTATTATAAGGCCACAACACAAAACATACAGCAGAGCGCCGTCTTATGAATGTGAAGATGTAGACAACCCCAGTCATGAATAAAACAGCCTGTGACCCGTCCTTGAAGGGGAATGGTCTAGACCCTTTAAGAATATAGTAAGTCACCTTTCATAACTTCATGCTGATTAGTCTCCTAATCTCAACAACTTCGAGAAAAGGGAGAGCAATTTCAAATGTTGCCCTCACAATGGTGCGCTGTGAACACGCTTTATGCGTGTGTTCAGATGTGACTGTACAGAGTGCACACCGCTGGCAAGGTGGTAGCCCTGAGCGCTCGCCAAGTCCAGTGGTGTCTCCATTTGGGCGAGGAGGGCTCCCGACAGGTGGAGAGGATGCTGAACCTGAGCTTTCCGCGTCTACAAACACACCAGGCATATTTGACCGTGACCTCTTCAGGTGCCTGAATGCAAAACACAGTTGTGTTATAAATATATCCAGGTTCCTGATGGGCAATGCCAAACCTGTTGTCCTCGACAACTCCTTTAATAAGGGCTTTGCTGGCTCAGCATTGGATTGTGGTCCCTGCTACAGCAAGCTGAGCTACTGGGGTGGAGCAGGATGGGAGAACCGATGCTCTGCCTTCTTCTTGAATAGCACAGATGGTGCCTCAAGACACCAAAACAAATACCGACTAAGTCAGCCAGAGCCGGTGATAAGGATGAGCAGTGCTCCTGCAGCAGGCAATCGTTTTAAGACATGATTTTGCTCATTGTGTTTGCAATGATACTGGCCTGCTGGGCTGGGGGTCTTCCTCCTTTTTTATTTGAAGATGGAAAGCAAGAGTCACTGTTATGGATAACTGCTCATATGGACAAATGTTTCTTTGGAGGGTTTGATGGTGGTACGATATTCCAGTTGTCACGACATTTCTTACCAATACACTTCCACGCCAGAGCTGAGAAATCAATAGCTCCTCTGGTGAGGGAGTCCTCAGCTGAGAAGAGTCTGTCTTTTTCTGGGAAGAAATCCAAACAACACTTGTGCTGTCTACAAAGGTACCAGAAAAAAAATCAATCTCATTCTTAGCATAGTACTTTTGTAGTGACCTGTTTCAATTAGGTTTCATCCGTTTTAGAAGAGGGAGAGACAATATTAGTCTTCAAGGCCTGATCCTCTACTGCTGCACGTGCATCTGCCTCACACTGAGCCATCTAGCTCCTTTTGAAGCCACCAGCAGCTCCAGGTCCTTTCTGTCTTAGATAAGAACTCCACAGCAATTACATGTTCCTCATGCTTCTCTGGAGCAATGGAAAATAAAAAGGATGTAAAAGCTGAGTGCGATGTAAAAGGGTGCACCACAAAGGGGGTGCCCAAGGAAAACCATGAATATCAGCACAACTGCCAACCAGCTGGAATGCTAAATCATCTTGCCATCTGTGAATATTTGTTTGTTATTATTAAATGAAAGCTTTTAAGTAAGAAAGGGAATTTTGTAAACTGCCAGTAACAATCCCAGTCGTTAAACACTGCGGTTGAAGCGGAGCAGAAAGTGATGTGCAAGTGCTTGACTTGGGATTTTCGCAGGCTGCTGGTTAGCACGGATGAGCTCCCTCACCTGCCGGCCAGCCCAGACAGAGTCACCAAACCTTGACCGCCACAGCCAGGAGGGGTAATCCTGCCATTTTATGTTTATACTAGCTTTTGTTTTATGTTTTACAGGAGATCTGAACTGCTTACAGTAAACTAGGTTGTACATAAATATAAGAGACATAGTCACATATTTTATCTGTCTTTAAAAATCCCAGGCTTTATATAGCAATGGATTCCAAATCTTTCTGCTATCTACCTGATTCCTAATGAATTGCTCTGATTTTTCCATTTGGCTGCTGTGCAGGACTGAACTGCTATTGGAGCGCAGTTAGTAAGATACTGCTGGGGGAATATTTATTTTATCTTGGTTGGGGACACCGGACTCTTTGGTCTTCCCCCCGGGTGGTGAGGTGTGTCAGGTTTGGCACGTTGGACTGCAATTTGGTGTGTCGGGCTGCAATTTCCGTGTGCTGAAGTCAGGCATAAAAAACACTGACGTCAGATGAGAAAACTCGTCCTGCAAAGGTCGCCTCTCTTCTGGGCCTCGGACACCCTCTGAGCGAGCCCCTGAGCCAGCGAGTCGAAGCCTCCGCGTTTAGCGGGCGGCCTTTGGAAAGCGACGGTCTCATTTCTGGAAGTGTTGTGAAAGGTATAAATGAAGTATATAAAATACGGGAGCCCGCCGCTGCCGAAAGCCCGGCTCTGTGGCTGGACATGCGCGTGGGAAAAGCTGCAGGATGACTGCAGCCCGGCCTTTGCCAGCAATACAGTTTATTAAAAAATGCCCTCGGGCTATAAATACTGGACTATGCTCTTTGCATGCAACTGAATCGAGAATGGAGGTAAGGCGGTACGAACCCGGTGTCATGCGGCGGAGGATCAGTCTCATGAAGTTCACCCTCGCTGCTACGGTTAAAATTTAACTGAAGTACTGGAAGGCCAATTACAGACACGTCTCTTGTTTCTGGTGCATTTAGAGCGGTTGAAAAGCTTCCCTTTAGTGCTTAAAATCACATATTGGCTGCCTTCGGCTGAGTATGTACATTAAATGCTGTAGAGTGGATTGTGAAGTATAAAAATTTTAGTAGGAATATATATGAAGCATATAAATTCATAAAAGCAGTAACAAAAATATCCTTAACATCCAATACAAAAAAGCAGATTTACAACACCATATCACGTAAAAGTCCAGTTATTAATCTCAGAAATAAAATGCATTTCAAATGGGATTACTGCTTTAAAGTGTTGAAACAAGAAATCAGAAAAACCTCACCCCTAAAACAATTAGAGTATAACAGCCCTGCAGTACAAAACAGACGTTTTTCTCTTCCCGAGAAATTCTTTGCTCTGTCTAACTCGTAAAACTTTACCGTCTTGCTGCGTTCCCAGGACGAGCCAGGCAGACTTCGGGGAGAGCTGCGGGAAAGTAACTCAACAGGCCTCTTCAGCAGCGCTGTTAAAACAAACTGCCTTCCTGAGATTAGTTTAAACAACAACAACAAAAATCTAGGTGCTACAGCAGCGTGGCTTCAGTATAGCGTGGGATAACTGCACCGAATTCAGACAGACAAAACCTTAACCACAGACTATCAGTCCAGGACTCAGATGTCACCAGAAAAAAAAAAAAGCAGAAAACTGATTAACTAGCTTACTTCAAATTCTAGAAATTTGGTTTCAGTCTCGGTATTAAGCACGGTTCTAAGTTTGAAATCATGTTGTTACTGTCTTTTGTCTCTGTTTAAGTCCAACTGGCCAGAAAAAAGGCCTATACTATAGCTTATTGCCCATTAGTCCAGGGCAGATTTTCTTCGGTATTGCTCCCTTTACGTATTCCCTACCTCATGGAAACGAATCATTATTTAAGGTATTTCATTCTGCCTATAGAGTACTTAAGTACATCAACAAATAATGCGTCTTTTTGGTCAGAGCTGAAGAAGCGAAGATCGGAAACCCATTGGGAAAGAGAAATTAAAGATCGGTGCATTTTAAAAACAACTGATGCCTGCAGAAATTAATAGGAAGTTATCAAACATAGTTTCAAAAAGAAAAAAAAAGAATAGGAAATAGTTCTTACCTGAGAACATACAGAATTTAGAACCACCTCCTGCCCCCACTCCAAAAAAGCCCAACCCAGCTCAGCAAGCCAGACACGTAAACAGAGAACAAACATTTTATTAAGCTCTAGCATGACATGTTGGAGTCCATCGAAGCGGCTCAAATACAGACTCAGCACAAACAACTCTGTCCAGGTCAGTTACCAGCCGTTTGGGAGGAAAAAAAAGCCAGAACGGGCCGGAAAACGTTGTAGGAGGACAACAAAAACCTTCAAGGAAGGAGGATGCCCCGGCGGGCAGGGTGGAGCGGTAGGGGTGGCAGCCCCAGCCAGCAGCTTCCTCCTGCCTTTGTCAGGGCAGTTTGGCTGCAGCTATAGCAACACCTTTTCCCCTGGCCAAAGTTCAATTATTTTACATTTTTATTGCCGCTGCTGTTTGTTTAAAGTTTCCTGGCAAAACCTGCTGCTCGCACGGGGACCAGGTCCCGGAGGCGGCGGGGAAGGAAGCGAGCTCATGCTCAACTGGACTAAAGAGAAGCAAATTCCCTGAAGCGGTAGAAAAACGGCCCCCCGGGAAAAATGCCATCCCGAAAAAAAACGCTCATGTTCACGGCCGCCTTTTTCACCAGCGCTTTCTCCTTCGTGCTGGTTTGCGTCGTTCTTGCAACCCGGCACTGGATCACTAGCGACGTTTACTTCTCGCGGACGAATTCCTCCGTGACCGTCTCCCTCACGTACGGGCTTTTCCAAGGCAGCTGCGAGCAGACGGTGGCGGGAGGCCTGCAGGTTTTGGAAAGCTCCTTCCAAGGTAAGCGGCACCGCGAAGCCCGCGGCCCGAGCTCCTGCCCCTTAACTCAACCAGCAGAGCCACATACAGCAGGTCACTCTTTCATCCGTTTGTACCTACGACGCTTTTAGTGAAGACAAGATCAGTCTGGGAACTCAAGGCACAGTAATATATACCGTGCAATAACTTAAGACCCCCCCCCAAAACAGCACATAAATGCTACAGCCTTCTTGCCAGCAGTAACTTCTCGTGATTGCCTGGGCTCTTGGCCTACGCCTTCGAATGAGGAAATAATATAAACAGGAGCTTTGAGTATCATAGGTTTGATTTGCAAAAGCTTTCAGCAAGACGCAGGAAAACGCTCTTACCATGCTATTGAAAGATTTCAAACCTCATTCAACTTCCAGAATTTAAATTTCATTAATTTTTAGGCAGCCACTATCAAATTAGCCGTGTTTTTATAGAGGAAGGTTTTCTGAGACTACTGAAAGGAGGAAAGCAAGACACAGAAGCATCGTGCTTTAGGTAGATGTGGTGTTTACATACGTGCTGACCACAGATATTAGAGCGAATAAAGCACTCCTTTCATCTTCTCCTTTTAGAGCACCCCGTTCCATTTTTAAAAAGTGACGGTATCACACTTCAGCATTTAGTTTCCGTTTTCAAAACTTACGCTGGCATGTTGCTGCGCTCATGTCCTTTTTCTTGCATTGCGCTGTGAAGTATGTATTACAGCGCACGTACAACAAACATGTATCGTAGCACACCTATAGCACGTATCGTAACCCAGCATGTCGTCTTTCCCAAGGCGCTGCTCCCCCACCCCACTGGCAGTTTACAGGTGACTTTATCATCACAACAGTCTGGAAAACTGCCACGACGTTTCGAAATGAGGTGTTGGAATAACACTTCAGAAAACATCCAGTAGAGTCTTACTAAACTTTTTTTCCTGCGTCTGCAGTTCTTGGCATTTATCCTCAGTGGTAAGATCGTTACAGATGAATAAAAAGGGCTAAATAATGAAATAAACGCTGGAGAAAGTTCTGACAGACTATGAAAAAACCCTAGTCGTAGAAACAAAACATGGGGAGGGGGTGAGGAAAGCAGGACAGAAATCAGAAATGATGCTTACCAAAGAAAAGCCCCCAGCAACAAACCAACGTCGTACAGTTCAGCCGAGATGTCCTTGGCTCTGCGCGCAAGCGGCTCTGCTGCCGTTAACCAGAGCGTTGGCGAAGCAGAGGTAGAGCAGCCTGGGAGGCGCTGCAAGGTTCGAGGGGTTGCACTGATA